TTACGGCAATGGGGGTCGACTGGGATCTTAAACTTGTACTTGCTCATGGGAATATGTGCTCGTGAACAGTCAATGCGTATGGCTCAGTTCAACACAGTATTGGGAACAGAACACCACACCCACTGAACTGGACATCATAATTTTTACCTTAAGTAAAGAGAAAGCAACATATTGTAAGGGAAGAGAAAGTTTCATGGGATGCCACCTTGCAAATACTGTTCATCTAGAATTTAATTTCCATAAGACATTTTCTCACATGAAGAGACTTTTGGAATGCTTGCTGTAAATACACAGATTCCGAGGCTTCTCTCCAAAATGTTCTAATTTTGCTGATCTGGAATATGTAACTCACTGATTAGTATAAGGGACTCTCAGAAAGTTCACAGGAAGTACATATTCTAAAAACACAATGCATGGATTTTAAATAAAAGTGGCACCCCAATTAATTTACCTCTTGATTCCATTTTTCCACATTTTGAAGTACCTTTTGCTAAGCACACTAGGTAATTTTCACAATTGAGTAAGGCTGTAAAACGTCAACATTCACTTTGTAACAGCTAGGATTGAGGCACAATCAGTATCCTATAAATACAGCACATCCTTCAAATGAAAATATACACAAAAACAGAATCACAGTAATTATTCTACTCAGACATTCAACATGAATCTTTTAAAAATGTCAGCACATGATTATCCCAGTTGACATATTTTAAAATTAGTCTACTTACCCATAAAACGTTTAAACTTTCATAAAAATGTGGGATTTTTTTTTTTTCCAGACCATTGCAACAAGCCAGGTCAAAATGTGAAAATCATCCAAAATGGTCTTTGGAAATGAATTAAAAGCTATTTGCTAAAAAGAAAAAAAATAAATCTTCTGCAGAAGGGGAAAATGGTAATCATGATTCATTATAAGTGATGGTGGGTGTTTGTGCTTATTACAGCAAATTTATTTTGCTACCTTAAGGTCCAGCCAAGCTATCAACCAAGCATGAAGCCAAAAGAAAGACACTTTCTAATACAAGGACTTAAAAAACTATATGCCCTGTGAGCTGTACTCAAGAAACTCCTTGTGTGTTCTGCCAAAATAAAGGAATAAATTCAGGAGGAGTGGAGAGAAAAAGGCACAGGATCCAGGAATCAAGGGAGCCAGCACGAAAGCAAGGTGGAAGGAATCCCCAGGGCACAGTGTGGGAGGCCCACAGCAACAGCTGGCCAGGTCGAAAGAGGGCATCGCAAGAGGGCAACGACCATGGAGAATCTCCTCAAAGACGAACTTGAAAGACAAACTCAAGTGTCTGAACAAAGAGTAGAGAGATTTATGAAACCGGGGAAAGAAGTGGGGATAAGGCTGTGACGCACTCATGCAAAAAGGCCAGGTGGATACAAGGCAAACTGTACCAAAAGAAGAGCATTGGGCTTAGCCACTGCTGGCTTTCAGACAGATCAAAAGTACAGGAAAGGTGAGGAAATGGGAGGATGCAAAATGTGTGACTGGATGTGCAGGTGGGATGAAAAAGAGAGCCTGGTCTTCAGTTTCCACACTGTGAGGTCAGTGGATAATGTATCAAGCCAAATAATCAATAAATAACAATGGAAACATGCTCCTGAAGACAAATTCTACAATCTATTCAAATTAAATTTATTTATTTATTTAGAGAGAGAGGCAGAAAGATAGAGACAGATCCAGAAAAAGAGCTCTTCTACTTGTTGACGGCCCAAATGCCTGCATTGGCCAGAGCTGGGCTGGAGCTGAAGCCAAGAACCCAGAATTCAGGGCAGCTCTCCCAGGGCTAGTAGACATCCAGTTTTTTCAGCCATTTCCATTGCCTCCTAGAATCTACATCGGCAGGAAGGTTGAGTCAGGAATGACCTGGCCGGGGGGTGGGGTGTCAAACCTGGACACATCAGTGTGGGATGATTTGGTGTCTTACCTATGAGGCTAACCACCTACTCCAAGAACCAATTTAGTGGCCAGCATAGTGACGTAGGAGGTAAAATGGCTGGCTGGAGATGACAGTGTGCCATATGGGTGCTGGTTCCATTTCTGATCTAACAGCATGAGAAAAGTAGCAGAAGATGGTCCATAGGGGCGACCCACATGACGCTCCTGGCTGAGGCCTGACTCAGTCCTACCCATTGTGGCCACTTGGGGGATGAACCAGTGAATGGAAGGTCTCCCACTTTGTTTCTTGCTCCATGCCTGTAGCTATTTCAAGAACAAAACAAAACAAAAAAGAATCAAGTTAAAGCACTCTACATTTCTTAGATGCTATTTAACTTTACTCAGTTCCCAGCACTCTATTAATATATGATCTGGACAAACAAAACTACTCATTTATATGTTTAGGGATAGGTGGATACAAAGGTTCATAGATGATGAACCTTAGCTTATGCTTCTGTCCTAACAGAGGGAAGATAGTAAGCAAATGAACAGAAGCAAGACATGCTAAGTGACGGGCACAATGAAGAAAGAGTTAGGTCTAGGGATGAATAACCAAGAGTGGATCAGGGTGGGTAGGGAAGGCTCCAGGAACTGCAAATGTCTCACAGGTAGGAATGAGTCAGGCCTCTCTGTAACAACAGCACCAAAACTGGCACCTGAGGCAAAAGCAGGGGGAGCTGAGGTGTGTGTGTGTGCGCAGGTGGAAGGGGGCAGGGATGGAGGGCATGCAGGATCATGGAGAGCCTGGAGGGCCATTTCATAACACCTGGATTCCAATCTAAATGCGATGGGAAGACAGGAAGGTTTTTAGTTGGGGAATGACATGATTTACACTTTAAACATTGGCTTCAGTTGTTGCATAGAAAATGGATTGCAGAAGGGCGGGAACCTAGAAGCAGGGGGCCAGCGAGAGTCTACACAGGTGTCCACACAGTAGATGGCCAGGGCTTGCACGGGGATAATAGAACCAGATAGAGTAGAAATGAGATAACACTCGGGAGGGGGAGATGGACAGGACATGCTGATGGATCCCTGTGGAGGAAGGTAGAAACCTAAGGATGCGTCTCAAATATGGGACTAGAATAAGTGAGTTGCTGGGGTCAGGGAGTATCACTTGATCAGATACAAAAGTCAAGGAAAAAATGGGTGGACATCTGCCCTTCTAGTAAAGACAGAGTTTGGGGGGATGGGTCCTGTGGCTTAAAAGGCTAATCTTCCACCAGTTCATATCCTGGCTGCTCCACCTCCAATCAGTTCCTGCTTTAGGTCTAGGAAAAGCAACAGAGGAGAGTTCAAGCCCATGGGCCTCTGCAACCATGTGGGAGAACCAAAAAGGACTCCCGGCTCCTGGCTCTGAATCAGCTCAGTTCTGTCCACTATTGCAGATGAAATATCTTTCCCTCCCTGTTTCTCCTTCTCTCTGTAAATGTCTTTCAAATAAAAATAAATAAATAAACAACAAAAAAATTTGGGAATCTACACCTCACATCAGAGTTGCTGGTTTCAAATCCCAGTTCTGTTCCTGATTCCAGCTGCTGGCTATGAACAACTTTGGGAGAGACCACAGGTGATGACTCTGGTAATTGGGTTCCTGAGCCTGTGAGAGTCCTGCATCAAGTTCCCAGCTCCCAGTTATGGCCTGGCCCAACCCAGCTGCTCTAAGACATTTGGAGAGCAAACCAGTTGATGGGAGAAATCTCTCCCCCACACTCTTTTCTCTCCAACAATCAAATAATAAATAAAGTCAAGAAAAGAACTAATTTGGAGGACAATAATCAAGCCCTCTGCTTATACATCACCTGTAACATGCCCATGAACTTCACATGTAGTTGTGCACCAGGGCTTTGGAGTGCAGAGAAGTTAGAGTCACAGATACCAATCTGGGAGACACTCCACTGCTATTTCCTCTAGCATCCTGACCTCTCCTTGCCCCACTTCACCTGAGGCTCATTACAGTTGACCTCCTGGTCCCAACTGTACTAACTCCCAAGAACCCTCTGTTGTATGTGGCAGGCACATTTATCCCGATGAAGTAAAAACAATAATCACTTCTCTGGCATGATAACAAACCTCTTCAGGGCTTCCCACTACCTGTATCTTTCAGTATTACCTCCTTCTCGGGGCCTGAATTCTTATGTGTAAATGTGTATGTGTGTGTGTGGTTACACATAGGTTTATTATAATAAAAGCTACTTGTACACTTGCAACATTTAAAAATTGAGCATCACCTGTTCTCTTTCAGTGAAATGAAAAGAAAATTTTAAAATAAACAGGAACCAAATTACAATAGAGAATGTCAATTCCAAATAAGATCCTATAGTTTCTGCTGATTCTCCCACAGAGCGGCAGGGTTCCAGTCATCATTAGGAGAGAAGTCTATTTTTTTAAAGTGTGATCTTAGATTGCAAGGATGCCTGTTAAACATGCCAAAGGAGAAACCATGTTGTGAGGCTGCCCAAACAACCTACCCAAACATCTCAAACCCACCCTTTGCTGACCTTCTAAGACCCCATTATTTTTAAAGTTTTTTTTTTCCTTTTTAAACAAGAGACAGATACACATTAGTAAATGCTAACTGTCCATATTCACATAGAGACACAGTATAATCTCTGAGCCCAATATACAGAGAAAGGAGGGGAAAGCTAGAATTTTATGCCCAACTGCACAGAGGCCTATCAGCCGCCAGATCCCAGCCAGCCAGGGGAGCAAGTGGTTCCTTTTTCCTATAGAGCATGTTGGTGTTGATTCCAAGCAGTTTGTTGAGACAAGGAGGAGTGAAAACAAATTTGAAACAGAAAGGAGTAAGAGATTCTTTTCCCTTTGTATTCCGCTTAAGATATTTTCCCCACAATAAGGTGAGAACCATGGTATAAAGAGACCTCAGAAACAAGGAGATACAGCCAGCACAGGAGGGGAAGAAGATAAGAAGGCAGCAAGGGACTGCAGAAAATTTTTTAAAAAAACAAAGAAGCTGGAATCAATCAGTGCTATTGGTCATCAGCTCCTTCATCCACCTCTCCTTCTTCACCTTCATCATCATCTTCATCTTCCTCACCTTCATGCTCATCCCCTTCTTCATCAATGTCTTTCAATCCTTCTCCCTCTTCTTTTTCTCCCTCTTCTCCTTCCCCTTCCTCATCGTCCATATCTGGAGCCAAGTAGTACTGCAGTGGGTTTGGCCAGATGTCGTCCTTGATGACCTGGCCCAGCTCAGCAGTGCCAGGGTCCGAGTGGTCGGAGAACCAGGCGAAGAAGCTCTTGGGCTCCTCGCGCTGCCGCTTCCTGCTGGCTTTGTTCTGTGTTGGATTTGACCGTTTTCTCAAGTCCTTTCTGGATTTCCATTTGATCTCGGAGGACTCTGAGGATGGACTCCCACTCAAATCCACACGAAATTCCTTGGAGAGAACTTTATTTTTGAAGTAGGGATTTTCATCAAAATAAAAATCTATTCTGTAACCTGGTAAAATGTCTTCCAACTCTGCCACTTCGACTCTGGTCAGATAACGCAGCACCTGCTCATCCTCCTCTCCAAGCAGCAGAGACACTTGTGGATGCTTGACAAATGCTGTTACCCAAAAATGTGGGATTTTGGCAATTAATTCTGACCTCTTCTGAAAGAATGGTTGGCGGAGTTTGTTATATTTCTGTTCTACTTTCAAAATCTCCTTGCTGGCTTGCTGATAAAGTGTGTTTACTTCATTCTGTACTTCATCAATATGGTCGATTGCTTCTTGTTCTTTTTCTCGTTTGGACAGACCCTTAGAGGCCCCTGTGACTGCCAGCTTGGGGCCTGGAGCCAGTCTAGGCTTCTTTGCTTGAGGCACGAGCGAAGCTGGGCGTTTGGGGGCCATGTTTCAAGGCACAACGGAGCTCTGCCAAGCGGGAAGGAAGCAGCTGCGAACCAGAAAGAGGGAATTCTTGCGCCTATCCCGGACCTGCCTGCCTTTCTGAGTTTTGTCTCCACAGTTCTCTAACAGGCTACTCCATTCCGCTCTGATTTCTGCACATCTTCATAAGCTTCTTCACAGCCAGAGTGTGTGTATGATTTATCTTTGAGTTTTGCCACAGCCAGCACGACACCTTACACAAAATAACTTCAGTGTAGGAGCTGTTTGTGTGTGAAGGTGTCACTCTTCTCCTTCTTAATGGTCCCTCATAAAACAAATCTGCAGGAATAGACTCGCCAAGCACATACCAGCACCGCTTTCCAGGATATTCTTAAGCAAAATAGCACTTCAGTCTTTCCCTTGGCAACCAAAATTTCCTTCACATTAAGGGCTGCAGTGTTATACTTGCCAGAAGTTTATATGAATAGAAACATCCAGCCCCTTGAAATGAAAATAAATGGCGGGTCAGTTTATAAGGATAAATGATAATGTCAGACCAACATTTAGTAAGTCAGGTTATTTGGCTGTTCTGGGTTACTGTGGCTTTTTGTTTTTCTTTCTCTGCCTCAGATGTGTGTGTGTGTTTGAGGGGCGGGAGGGTTTGGAGGGAAGGAGGAGACCAAGAACTGTTTATTTTCTTAAGACTATTTTTACCTCAATATCACTTTTACATCAGTGGAGTCTCCATTAAATATTAATCTTTCCTCCCAAGAACAGAGACCAGCAGTTACCTTTATTACATTAAAGTCTCCTGAGTTTAAAAAAAAAAAAAAACCTGTTGGGATTTTTTTTTTTTCTTTTTTAAAAATAGAGGCTTGATTCACGAACCTTAACTTCAGGCTATCTCCTTGGGTGATATCATTAAACAGGAAAAAGATGAAGTCTGGCTTGTCCACTGTGTGTCATGTTTTAAAAAAATCTTACAGGTAAAATAGATCTGAGTTCAAACTTTCTAAGACAGCACTCGCTGATCAGACTTAATGAGCCAGGGACAAAGGACAGGCATGTGACAGCTACATTTTTCCCTAGTTTTCTTTCTTTCAAAACAAATGATATTTGCATTATTAAGAAAAGTAAACCTAAAAAAGGAAGAGGTTGGGTTTTGAGTGTTCATCATTAAATTCATAAGAAAAGACTGTGGCTGAGAAACAGCCATTGCACTGAAAGCTCCAAACTTCTGCAGTAGGCGGAAAGACTGCAGGTCAGCCAGTGGGTCACTCCAGCCGAGGCCTAGGTGGACGCGGAGCTCGGGAGCCTTGGCTCTGACCGTGTCCAGAGGTGAGGAAATCCAGGAAAGTCACACTGCCTCTGGATGAGCACACTAAACGGGAATCGGAGTACTTTGATATACTATGATACAAATTATCTTTCAAAAATATGTTTACATCCTTTCTTAATGGATTAACCTGTTACACGATTCTCAATTCAATAATCTTTTGAAGACTGGGTTATCTCTAAGTTTCGGCTTTCGTGGACTGATCTAGTGAGCAATGAATCATTTGCTTTACAACACTAGAAGTGGAACTGTGGGGTCTGAGCAGGTGCACATTTTAAGGTTTTTCATCTATATTATAGCTAAGCTGCTCTCTTCATAGTGCTCATTTCAACCAACACAAGGCAATTATCTCTGAGCAGCCCTTTATGCCACTCTGCCAAAATCATAAGTGATCCATGGCATCTGACTTTTCTTCCCCATGCACGCACTTAATCCTTATTTCAAACACCTGTGGGTCACTTATGTGCCTACTTTATTGAGTAACATGGACAATTTGCTTAATCATTGTGTTTTATTTTTTCTGAAATGGAGATATTAGTACTAGTAGCCTCATGTGGATGCTGTGAGCATGAAAAAGTGAATTCATGTAAAGAATCCACAATGGTTCCTGGCCCAAGGTGAGTTCTCAGTTATATACATTAGATGTTTTGAAAATTGCCTATGCAGGTTCTTGATGTGTATTCTGGGGGGCAAAGGTAGGGCATGTTCAGCTTTGACTTAAGGATTTTAAGAGCTCTGATGGCATTAATAATGTGAATCATTGTTTCCCATATCTAATACGGATAATTTCTGTATTTTCTGCATAGCTCTTTTCAATTTATTGATAATGGCTTTTTTTCAGTTATGTAAAATTTAAATATTCCACATCATTTATCTTAAATAATCAATTACAGAGGTTAAATATTCACATATGAGAAAAACAGCACATGAAAGCACGTTTTTAAACCACAGTTTAAAATTATAGAAAAGGATTAATCAATTCGACTCCATAAAAAGTTCATATTTTGCATGGAAAGACTACTATATAGAAACTTACCATACAAGAAAAATGGAGAAAATTTATTTGCAGCAAATGAATGACTTAATCTCCTTAACATATAACTCTATGAAGCCATAAAAAAAGACTAAAATAGGTATTTCAGAAAAAAAGAAGAGAAAACCATAAATGCCCTTTAATTCATAGTCACAAAAATAAGATATTTGCTTTTACATAAGAAATTTCAAAAATTCTAAAAATATGTCTGTGTACAGAGCCTTGTGGGCACATTCAGGGGAGGCCTCTCAGTGCACAGGACAAGGGGCACATGAGTGACAGAACTGAATTCCTGCTGAAATTCTGCCCTGTATGCCAAGGCCTGCAGGGCTGCCTCACCAGGAGGGAGGATGCACAGTTTCCTAAAGGCTGGCGTGACTCTGACGTGCATGCATTGTTAATGAAGGAGTACAGAACTCTCCGTAATTCTCAGAATAGGAGCAGATACACCGACTTTGTTTCCGTGAGAGTGTTTTGGCAAAAATTTATCAAAATCAAACACATAAATCTTGGTGTAGTTACTCCACTGCTGCGATTGTACTGGCACACATAGGTCAAGATGTGTAGATAAGGCTGCTCATGTCAGCACTGCTCGGGAGAGTATCCATGCATGTATGTGCACCCAGATACAAAGCCAGAAACAAATATAAAACATAAAAATAGAAGAGTTCGGTTAAGTTTCATTGATTTGTTTTTATTTCATCTAAGAGGCAGGGAGGGAGAGACAGACAGATATACACTGACAGAGAGAGTGAAAGAGAAGCCCTGAACTTGCTGGGTCATAACAGCCAGGGCCAGCCTGGGACAAAGCCAGGATTTAACTTGGGTCTCCCATGGAGGTGCTTGGGATGCAAGTACTTGAGCCATGATCTGCCTTTCAAGATGTATGGCAGCAGGAAGCTGGAATCTGTAGCAGGGGCAGAACTCCGACCCTGGTAGGCCAATATGGCAGGTGGGTTTCTCCAATAGGTTTTAAACACAGTACTGAATAAGATTGTTTATATGAAATTTCAGTATATCCACACACTGCACTGCTATTTGCGTGTAGAATTAAAAATATCAACTTTCCAAGTTATACTATTTGAATTATACTACATGAAACACTCAAAGTATAAAGCAGTAATTTTACTCTGTCTGTCTCAGTTGTGTTTTGATACTATACAAAATGAAATAAAAATTATTCATACTGGGTTAGAAGTGAAAAGTAAGAATAGGGAATCTGGGACAAAATAAACTTCTCTCCCAAATCATCTTGTACTATTTGACATTTAACCATGAGCATAGTGTTATCATGTTGTCATTAAAGAAGATAAATAAAGTATCCATCTCTGCCCTTATGATTTCTCCCTATGCCTTTTAAAAACAACAACTTAGAAACAGATACACAGTCTAAGCAAACAAATACAAATACAAGGTCCTCAACCAAACCTGACCTGACCTGACCCCGTGGTGAACACACCACTTGGGACACGTGTATACCATACTGGAGTGCCTGGTCTAGCCTAGCCCTGGATGCTGTGGGGAGTTGAACCAATGGATGGAAGACCTCTCTGTCTCTCTCTCTCTCTGTATCTCTGCCCTTCAAATAAAATGAACATACATTTTAAAATTCTGAAATTTGGAAACACAGAAACATAGATGGAGGTTCTATCACAACCTAGACGTGGTCCTGCATACTTTATTCACCTGTTCTCAATTCCAAAAAAGAGGACACTGGCATTAGTAGTCCCCTGGACTAATGCAAAACAGCCAAGAGCTTGCCGTTGGCATGCTGGGGATGAGCTGTGGCTGAAAACGATCAGAAGAAATAGGAATGAGAATCAGACACTACCCTTCAGATAAGAAAGTCGGACTAGCATGTAATTCTAAAGTAAACAATAATATATATATAAATATATATATCTTACTCAAAATAATATATATATCTTACTCAAATATTCATTAGCATAAAGTAGCCAGGCTCTTCATTGAGGATACCTGTTCATTCAGATATTTATAACAAATACTTGTTATGTCCAGTTTTACCTGGCCTTATATTTGGCAATGAAAATAGCCACTCTAAACCATGCTAGAGCCTAGGCTACAGGGCACTGGAACCTATTTGTAGGTACACCTAACTGGCATTTGTTTAGAAGCAATGAATTCAATCCTCAACAAAATACTAGCAAACTTAACCTAGTAATACATGATAAGAAATAAATGCCACACTCAAATGGAATTTACCCCAAGAAGGCAAGGTTAATTTAACCCCCAAAAGTCAATTAACACAATGACATACTAACAGAATGAAGGACAAAAACCATATGATCATCCTGACAGAAAAAGCCTTCAACAGAATCCAACACTTTCATGATAGAAATACTTACAAACTAGAAAAAGAAGGAAATAATAATTTTTTAAAACCATGTATACAAATGTAAAGCTTGGGGACAGCACCATGGCATAACTGGTAAAACCACCATCCACATAGCCAGCATCTCATATGGGTGCCGGTTTGAATCCTGGCTGCTCCATTTGTGAACCACTCCTGTGGTTTCCATTTCTTTGTGCCTATGAAGGCAGAGGAGGATGGCCCAACTCCTGGGGCCCTGCAACCACGACAGAGACACAGAAGTTTCTAGTTCCTGGCTTCAGACCAACCCATTTCTGGCTGTTGTGGTCTTTTGAGAAATGGACCAGAAAATGGAAGATTTCTCCCTCTGTCTCTCCTGTGCTCTCTATAACTCTGTCTTTCAAATAGCAATAAAGGATTTAAAAAAAAAATTTCAAAAATTAACATAATATTTATAATGAAAAACTCCCTTTTCCCTTAAATCAGAAATAAAACAAAAATGTGTACTACCGCAATTCCTATTTAACATTGGACTAGGTGTTATAGCCAGGGTTTCTAGACAAGGAAAAAAAAATACAAGTCATTCAAGTTGGAAAGAAAAAAGAAAAATTTTCTCTTTGCACATGACCTCATATATAGATCTTGTATATA